AGATGTATGTCTTGTCTGGAGGCAAAGATATATGAGTCAACCAAATAACGCAGAACTATGTGATACTACCAGCATGGAGGTATGTTGGTGTTCATGACCTAACCAGCCCCGGGGAATCTCAAAGACAAAGCAATGGAAGGAGGAAGGGATACTGAGTGAATGCTTTGGCTGCCATCTACCATTCTGTGAACTTCTCAAATCTCCCCAGCACCTGACTTTGCCCGCCCCATGTCTCTACACCAGAACTAAAACCACCAAGTAACTTCCCTGTCACTGAGAGACACAGCTTCATTATCTTCCCTCAGTCATCCAACAAAAATTTACTGAGTACTTAGTATGCGCAGGGTGCTGTGAAAGGCACTGGACCTGTCTGATCCAGGTCTGGTGAGCCATTTTACCCTGGGCTTCATATTCCCTAAGGATTTATAATAACACGGATTAAAAAAATCATATCATATCCAAATGATATCATAGATACAGTCACAGAGATACAAGTTCCAGGCTTGAATTTCAAGGCATATCACAATCTTTATAATCCTGTTTTGGTAATTTTCAAAACATAAGTGCAAGTCTCCCTACTCCCATGCTACAGATCAGCAAGGAAGTGGTCCAGGTGTCTCTCCTTGTCTGTGGGCCCTGAGAGCATTCAAGAATGAGGAGCGGACAAGCCAGTTGTTGGATGTGTGTTTGCAGAACTTAGTGTTTGGTGGGGAGACAGATATCAAGCAAGGACCTACCACACTGATAACTGTGGTTACTGCGGGGGAGAGAGACACAATGGGGGGCGGAGCTGGCAAGCCAGCTTTCACTTTATCTGAAGTGTTCAAATTTTTATCATATGAACACATCCACCTATTACTTGTGTAGTCACTGTAAGTTTCTATATCAGGTACACCATCAAGAGAAGAACAATCAAGAAAGGACCAGGGGAGAGGCGGACCCCAATGTGGGAGGCAGTGGAAATGGGTGAAACACCAAGTTGTCACAGTGTCAGGGTTGGTCTCGGCTAAAACAGTTCCACGTGACTTTGTGGTGGCCGTGGTCTGCATGCCACGTGGAAAGCAGTCCTACGCATGGATACAACAAGTCTTCCCATCTTCGAGCTCCCTACTCAGCTCCATCACCTAGTGACCCCACAAACACAATGACTAACTTACATGCACTGAGTAATGTAACATGTATGATCAACATGTTAGGCTCACTCTGGTTCAAAACTTGCCTTTTCCTGGAGCGCTGTCAATCTTACCGCACAATGCCAAATGCACATGAGTGAGTCATGGCTATCTTGTCTAGACTGGGATACCTCATCTTCACTTTGTCAAACAAATTGTGTCTCACCCATTACCAGTAACCATGTCATCCCCATGTCAAATTCACACAGTTCCACTGACAACAGGGCAGCGCTGATAATCACCTTTCCCCTCGATCTAGAGAAAGGAGAGCAGATAATCATGGAACGATGCGTGCTAAGTCACTTTAGTTCTGTCCAACTCTTTGAGACCCTATGGACTGCAGTCCACCAGGCTCCTCTCTCCAAACAAGAATACTGGAGTGGATTGCCATGCCCTCCTCCAGGGAATCTTCCCCACCCAGGAATCAAACGTGCATTTCTTGTGTCTCCTGCATTGGCAGGTGGATTCTTTACCACTAGCTCCAAACTAGGAAGCCCTATGGAACAATGTTAGCATGTCACAGATAGCCCACAGGGACAGACTGGGCAGTTGGGACACACAAATTCTGGAATAAAAACATTTCCTTCCACTGTCATTCTTTTTGACTTTCTCATTATATTTTGAGATGGAGTCAGATGGCATGGCTTTTACAGAAGAGAGGCATGACCAACACTGATCATCCAAAAATGCTTCTGACCATGACAATTATGTGTGAATGCATGTGTGTGTGTACTATTTTGTCTTGGCATGGCAGGTACCCTCTTCGGAGTGGGCACAGTTGTCAGGGAGGTGCACACAAGTTAACCCAGCACAGAGAAGCACAATCGAATGCCCCTGTGCATGAGGGGGACAGCTAGCAGAGGGAAAGTTCCCTGCAGAGGCTTTCGTGACTGAGTTGGGCTTCTCGGTGGCTCAGATGGTAAAGAGATTGCCTGCAGTGCGGGAGACCCTCATTCGACCCCTGGGTCAGGAAGATGCCCTGGAGGAATGGCAACCAACTCCAGGATTCTTGCCTGGAAAATACCAAGGACAGAGGAGCCTGGCAGGCTACAGTCCATGGGGTCGCAAAGAGTCGGACACGACTGAGCCACTTCACTTCACTTCTGCTCTAAGAGGTCCGTGCGGCTGGCATGGTGTATAGGCTTGCCAGGTAAAATATAGGACACCCAGTTAAATTTAAATTTTAGATAAATAATGAAGGATTTTTAGTACAGGTACATCTCAAATATTGCATGGGTCTTCTGTACTTTTATTTGTTAATTCAGGCAATTCTAACTGTGGAAGAGGTAGACAACATGCATGTCGATCATCTTTTCTTTCTTATCATGAATACTGTCAACATCATCAGCACATAGGAATGAGGTACACGCTATAACAAAGACCGAGGAATTACTCCTGTACCCAAAACACTCAGAACATGCTTGCTTCTTCAACCATGGACTCCTTGAGATCATGGACTTATCTTACCCCTCCTTCTTCAAGGACTAGCCCAGTGACTAGCATGTAGTAGATGCTAAAAATATGGTTTTGAATAAATGAGGATAAAATGTGGAATGACAATAAAGGGAGGAAATTTGAGGTAAGGGTGGGGGGGGGGGTAAGGTGACAAAACTGTACCTGACAGAAAATACAGGGACCTTCAAGGTGGTGGACAACAGCCAAATTTCCAGCCACCTCCATCACCCACTGGCAGAACCTATCAGCACAGAAGTTCAACTGAACAAACTCTTAGCTTGGTTAGTACAATGAAACTGTCTCAAAGCAGTAGGAACTATGCTGAGTGCCCTGAGTAGATAGAGGTGGGGGCACACAAAATTGGGAGTTCAGCACTTATACAATTACTTACTTTAAAAAGCCAAAATTAAGGAGGACAAAACACTGTAAAAGCCCAAAAGAGGAACAAGCCGTTCTACTGAGACAATTCAAGAAGCGTTAGGAATAAGAAGTAGTGTGAGGGATGGAAGGAGGTCTGGCCTTCAGAAGACATTGGCATTTTATAAACATATATTTATTGTTATGCATACATACACACAGTTTATAAATGCATAGTTCATACTTCTTAATTATTTTTCTTAATGTTTGTAGCATATGTACTTCTAGATTTTTTTTCTGTACATATATGCATGTGTTTGTATTTAACAGACTCTGTACACTACCATGTAAACTTGCCTTTAAGCTGCAAAGCTTGTCCATCCAAGTAACCAAGTACATTCCCACAGCATAATTTTGAATGCTTGCACAGACATTTTCTACTGATGATTTACTTAACCAAGTACCTACTGCTAAACATTTTAATTGTTTTCAGTTTTTTGCTGTGACGAACTTCCTGACAGGTAAGTCCTTAGAGACATCCATTATTATTTCTTGGAGATAAATGCCTATAGGGAGAATTGCTGAGTCAAAGATCATGTACATTTTTAAGGCTTTTGATATATATCACCATTTTGCTCTCCAAGAAGTCTGTGTCAGTTTATAATCCTATATAAAAGGTTTCATTTTCCCGATTATTTTTCTAAGTTAGTCATCCCACAAAATACCTCTGCAAAATCAGAGTTTATACAAAGAGAGCATATAAAGTAACATACGTAGTAGGTTTTCTTCTCAAAATAAATCAGTCCAAAAAGCCAGGATTTTAAGAAATCTCACTTGTCTACAATTAGTCCTTGGTACAGCCAATTAATTTAGACATGAACATTTTAAGCCAAATTTCCAGTCAAAGTCTGCCATGCTTGAGGGACTGTGGTTGCTCACCATTCTAAAATGACTTTATTAAAAATTAATGCATTTCTTTTTTTTTAAGGCGGTAATTCAAACTAACCTTCTTTAATGGCATCCCATTTCAGGTTCCTGGAGGAAAAAAATCCATTTCCTTTGACCATACCAGAAGAAGCTTACCTGGTCAAAGAAAGTGAAAATCATAAATGGTGGATAGCCCTCATTACCACAGGAATATTGGTCCAGGTGTGAATTAGTTTGGCTAAAGTGGGTGATCACCTACTCACATACCTCCTCAAAAACATATCAGAACAAAAAATCTTTACAGCACACAGAACTTCTCAGCAAGAAAGAAAGTTAAGCTAAAGTTTTAAAATACTGCTAAACCACATCTAAAAGTTTAGATACTACAAGAGAGAAGTTAATGAGGCAGAAAAATATTCCCCAGTATATAAGCCCCCAGAGGATTTCTAAGAAGGAGATCAGAGGCATACAAAATGCTAGGTGGGAATGGCAAGTGCTGGTTCAAGCTTCACTATAGGAAAGGACAGCTGGAGAGTGCCAACATTTTCTCGTGGCAATACAAAACTAAGCTGCTATAGTCTTCTATGTGACAAGTGCCATGCTCAATGATGCACTCTGGTTTTCATCTTTCTTGAGACAAAAAAAACTCAAATAAAAGAGAAAATATGCAAATACAGAAGTTTAACAAGACTGGAAAAAACCTCAACCATGTTACGTTCTAGTGGCCTTGCAATCAAATAATCATAGTCATCTGGTCAACATCTATGATTAACTCCATGAGAGAAGAGGTTTGGTTATAGGGCCAGGTACAAAAAAATATTTTCTTGGAGGATCGCTCTCTCTTATGTAACAGTGTTGGGTGAGCAAGTGTACAGAATCATAGCTTTCAGGGCTTTCTGAAACAGTCTGCATCTTGTATAGTACTGGGATGGATCATTCAGTCATCGATGGTAACACAATCATAATGCTCTGCTCACTTTTCTCAAAAAAAAAAAAAAAAAAAGCACTTCCAAAGTCAGCGTAGTCACCTCAAATCAAAAAAGCTTCAGAGGCAAAGAAGCTGAAATGCTGAGTACCATAAAATGATGAATGAAAAAACTACTCCCCACCAAAGATACCCAGGTGATACAAGGCACACGAAGGGATACTTCAGACCTAAAACCTCACTGTCAACCTCTGAGTTTTGTGGATTTTCCACCTCCATGGGCGAGGGAGAAAAAAGTGAGCAGCAAGCCTGATGGGATTTGAAAATATGTGTGGCTGGCATGCCTCATGGATCTGTTCATCACTGGCATCCTCTCTCTGGACTGTAACTAACTGAATGTTCGCCTGAGGAGAGTCACCTGGCAGAATCTGAGACTTCTGAGGAGGATGAGCAATTCATTTCCTATAGTGTCTACAAGAAAACAAAGCTTTCGAGTTGCCCCAAGAGATCCTCTCACACAGCCAGCCTCTGAAGAGGAACATCAAGGAGGCCTTCTATGAAATGTCCAGACAAGCCTTCCACATCTTCACTCAAGACACGTTCAAACCCACTTGGGAAGAGATACACCTGAGCCTAGTCCAGGTCGGACTTGGTCACCAGCTGCGGTACCTGGAGCAGTGCTTGGAAGAAGAGGAGGACGGAAATGAAGAGAGAGGGAGACACAGGAGAGAGGGAAGCGCCTCTCTCAGACGGAGAGGAGACCCCCCAGGAGCGCCGGCCCTCCAGCCGGGCGACCTAGAACTGAGGAGACATTTCAACAGGACAGACAGGCTCCTCAAAGATAGGAAACGCAGTCCCTGTGCCTGGGAGATTGTCCAGATGGAAATCAGAAGGTGCTTCTACTTCTTTCAGAAACTCACAGCACTACTCAGGAGGAGAGAAGGTATTCTAAGAATTAAAACTCTGTTTCTCTCCAAAATCGCCTTTTCCTTCTCTTCCTCCTTCATCTTCTTTTTAAGGCTTGTTGTGCAGCCCCGTGGCTCCCCTCGGCTGGATTATTGGTGGTTTGGGTAATGGTCATTTTTTTTCTGAAGTTTGGCCTTGCAGCATCAGCCACATTCACCTCTCCAAACAAGGTGATGCCTACCACCCCCTGGGTGGTCAAGAGTCTTGTTAGGAAGTCCTGAAGACAGTTTTAGAGGAGGACTCGCCCTCCCATCTTCTTTTCTCTGTTCTTCTTTCCTTTTGCTCTTGCTTTGCTCTGCTGCTTTTGAACTCCCTCAAACCCATGGCCAGAGGACACGGCCCAGAGAATCCTGCAAAACCTAACACCTCACTGACTTAACTCTTCTGCCAAGATTGTTTATTCTAGGAAAGTTCAGCATGTTAAAAGAGCCTGTACAAGGTCCCATAGACTTAAAACCGTTCCTGTCTCCCTACTCTAAAAAATAAGAAAATAGAAATTTTGGACCCATTTGCTTCTCAGCCTGGTTTGGTTAAAATGATAGAAAGTTTGTGGGTTGGTATTTTATTACTGTAAGAGAGTGAAGATCCGTAATGATATTAGATGGTTGAATGAGATGACCATTAAAGTCTCATTCAACATTTAAGAGCTTATGATTCTAATACAAAGAGCATTGCTCATTCCCAATACATATTATGTGATTTTGACACTTAAAAGCATGAAAAATACTGCAGAAAAGTTTAATATCTGTCTTTTTTTGTTTGCTTTCTACCAGAAATGAAATACCTATGGTTAGACTATGGAAGAATTTCACACTGGATTTTTCCCAACTAGAAGGCCACTTTCTTCTTGTTAAATAAACAAATCTTCTCACTAATACATGACACTTTAATATACTTTATCTTTTTGAAAGTTATTTTGTGCCTAGATTACCCAGATTATTTACTTAAATTTTCTTGCATGGTCCTTCATCTGTATTAATTCACCTTATAGTTGAAATGAATTTTCTCTACCTTTCTCTCTCCCTTCTACCCCATTTCAGAATCATCTATCTTCAAGCAAGAATTAACAGACAGATTGTGGCTACCCAAATGCATCACAGAGAGTATCCAGTTCAACTCTTGGAAGGCCTTTACTTGCTATTGTTTTCATAGCATGATGCTAAACGGTTTAGACTCAAGATTCATTCATAGTTGAATAGCTGGATAGTTAAACTTCAACACAGTTATACTGAGAAAGTATTAAAATAAAACTCAGTTCAAAAGTTAGAAGAAATGTTTAAAAGAACAAGAACTAGTTGTGGATCACAGTATACTAGTTATCAGTAGAAGGATCAGACAATAAAACAAGTTCATATGATCCATGAACTTATGAGTAACAATAACTCATCAGTAAGTGTTGTAACTTTTTAAAAAGCATTACAAGCTATAAACAAATTGGGACATGCAAGCTACAAAGCAGAAAGTATACATTTGATATTTTCCATGAATTTCTCTAATAATGCCTTTGCATGATCTCTTTATGATTCTCCTGGGACCATGTCAGTTACTTTAGCAATTGATGGTTGCAGTCTTGCCAAATGTTTGCAATAATGCGGAAGGAAAGAAAATCAGCACTTCTAATCAATAAAGCTTGTCTGATTGTACCAGCAGGGGCAGAAGTCACAATGGGATGCTTTTATTAAGAGCACCACTAGTCAGAAAAAGAATATTCTCACTGAAAATAGGTAAGGACACAAACTGGTAACATCACAAGAAATACTAACAGACAATATGAAAAATATTTACTCTCATTTGTGATTAGAGAAATGTAAAAGAAGGTAATAAGATACTCCCCTCTCATCAGTCTGGTAGAGATTAAAAAAAAAAAGTGATAATGTAGACTATCAGTGGGGTGCAGGGTTCAGAAGAAAAAAATCCTATATATTGATAGAGAAATAGTAACTGGCACAAGTTTCCTACTGGACAATATAGCAATCTTAAATGTCATAAAAAAAAAAAGTACATTAACTGCTTCGACCTATTCTTTCTCCAGAAATTTATTCCATGTAAGCAATTGGATAAGATTGTTCTGTGGAGCCTTATTTATAACATCCCTCCTCCTTCTGTTTTAATTTTCACCTCTCTGTATTTTTTATTTTTTCTTCAATGCTGGGGAGGGTTTTCTTCTAATTCTAAAATTAAAGAAGTCATACAAGCTTATCTTTCACTATAACTACCCTGTTTTCCTTACTGGAGTAGACTGGGACAGACATTGCTCTTTCACTTTGTTAATGATGCTTTTAGGCCCTTCTTGAGCAAGCCAGGCGCTTCCTGCTTTTCTAGTGCTGCTGCTGCTAAATTTCAAAGGAATCCTTCCTTGGGGATTATTTTCATAATGAAGTATTTGTAAAGTGCCTTCTGGTGCTTCTAAGATTTTGCTTTCTTTCTTCTGTGGGTCCCAGTGGTAACATCTAGAAATTACTGGAGAATGCGTTCTGTGTGTCCTCTCTGCTGACTTCGTCTCCTTTGTTTTTCTTTATTAAATGGAAGCTCAAAAGTTCCAACTCTGGAGGGGCAAACTCCTGAAACTCTGAAGAGGCACAGTCTCTACTTAAAACCTTCCAGTGGGTACAAGATCACAGGTGTTCATACAGAAGCTTCCTCCCTCCCTTGGCTTGGGGCACAGATCAAAAAGGCAAGGATAAAAAAAACAAGAGCCTCCCTGAGCCTTCTTGGGAGAGGCACTGACTGTATGTAGGACAGAAAAAGCTAACATTTCGTATATGTAAGGCTATGTGCAGGTATCCATTCCAACAGGTGTATAGATTCGGTCTCCCCTCACCAGCTAAGCAACTCTGGGGCCACCGTCTGGGGACCCTGCCCTCTGAGAGTGGCTACTATGTTTTTGCCCAAATTCTATCCCGCCCCCCACCTCCGAGGCATAGTTGATTTACAATATTATATTAGTTTCAGGTGTAAGTCCTAGTTCTTTAACAATCCTCGGTCATTAGGAGTAAGCACACAACTTGATAGGAAGGGCAGAGTAACAATAGGGTCGTTATAATCTCACCGGCGCGCTCACAGGGGAATTCGGTCCCCAGACAGCTTCGCAGGGACGGGGAAACGTCTGCAAAGTCAGTACTGGGTCCTCCAGGTCTGCTCTCACCAAACGTTGAGAGGGTACTGGGGCTTTAAACTTGGAGCGCTGGAGAAGTCAGGACCCCAGGTTCATTCTTTGCGGGAGCCACTTCACTCCTATTCATAAGCTAAGTCTCCAGGCTTCCTAGGTTATTTCTACATCTCCACTAGTGGGCTCGGCGGTACAGAATCCGCCTGCAAGGCAGGAGACTCAGGAGACCCGGGTTCCAGAAGGGGACCCTTCCCGACACGGGCCGGGCAGATCCTCTGGAGAAGGAAATGACAACCCATTCCAGTGTCCTTGCCTGGGAAATCCCATGGACAGAGGAGCCTGGCGGGCTACAGTCCACGGGGTCGCAGAAGAGTCGGCCACGGCTGAGCCCAGCACTGCACACACACCCTCCTTGAGGAGGGCGGCTCGCCCGCCCTTCGGCCCTTGGACACTCAGCCGTAGCCGTTTGCCTACCAGACCTGCCCTGATCCCGTCCCACCGCCTGGCAACCGGCCAACCACACGCCTTTAGGCGGAGATTGGAATCCACTGGAACTCACTGGAAAAAGGCACCCGGGATTCGGGCAGCTCCTCGCTTCCACTCTCCCGCGAGCGGCACCTTCTGGATCTGCGCTCCGCAGCGCGCTAGGGATAAGATCTGAGAAATGCGCCCGGGGCCACAGGCAGCCGAGGAGGCGGGGAAGGAACAACTTTCCCTCCGCCCTCTCGCCGCAAGGCCCGGGTGGGGCGGCCCCGCGGGGGTCGGGCTCCTCGCCTGCCCCAGGCAGGCTCCCGGGCGCAAGCCTGCGGGGAGGCTGGCGTAGCGGGGCGGGGGAGGAGGACAAGAGGGGCTTCCTTGTCTCCCGAGCCCCGCCAGATGTTAGAAAGGCGAACAATAGGGGAAACGCCGAGAAACAAAAGGCCATTCGCCTCGCTCTCCATCGGCTCTGTCGCGTGGGCCCTGCGGGGCGGACGTCTGGAAGGGGTCGGGGAGGTGGGTGAGGGGTGATCTTGAGAAGTCTGGGGTGTCGGTCTGGTACTTACTTGCCAGGCGCCGGGGGTCGGCCCTGTACCCTCCCCGAGGGGTCCAAAGGCAGGGAGGAGCAATCAGAGGAAAGTTGAAGGGTTCTCACCTTCTTCCTGAGTGCAGGGCAAGGGAGGGGCTGGGATTCCAGATGTTTGACAGTTGTTGGCCCAGGGGTTCCGAAGGATTTGGACGCCCTTTACACACCCTCTCCCGGGGGCGACCCGGCCGACGCATTGGAGTTTCCCCTTCGCAGCCCCCAGCCGAGCCTCCGCCTTCAATTCCAAGACGCCCTAAACGTGGTCCCCCTGCCCAGGCGCACTTTGGTAAAAGTTTGTCTTCCCGCCACCCACAGTCCAGCATGCACTCTGCAATCATCTGCGATCCGGGATGGATTCGGGGACAGAGTCGTGCCCGCCCCCTCCTCCCCAAGAGAAGAACGAGCTCATTGATAGATCTTGAAAAATCAAGGCCCCGGAGCCCGAGGAGGATTCTCGTTCCAACCCGGGAAGGGAACGGGAGGAGGCTGCCAGAAGCCAAGACGCGGGCAAGGGTCTGAGGCGGATTCCAGCCCCGGAAGCAGCGGAGGGCGGGCGGGGAAACGGGGTCCGCCGCCTCCCGCCCTCCTGTTGCACTCGCCCCAGGTGCGGGGCGCCCCACGCCTCTAAACCGCCCGGGCGCGACCCGGCGCGAGCAGCTGCGAGCTGCGCCACCTCCCCTCGCTTGGAGCGAGCTCTCACTCACCGTGGGGTTTTACCTTCAGCCCCGGGGCCCTGTCGGCTCCCCGCGCCGGGGCAGCTGCAGGCGACGCGAGAGGAAGAGGGTGAGCTTGGGGCAGGAGGGGCGACGCTCGCGGATCCAGCGAGGGGCTCCCGGGCCAGCGCGCGCGGTCTCAGCAAGCGCGCGGGCGAGCGAGCACAGGGCTCCAGCCGCCGCCGCCGCCGCCGCTCCAAAGCAGCCCCCCACCGGCACCCGGAGCGCGGCTCTCTTGCGAGGGCGCTAGCGGAGCGGGGACCCCCTGGCGGCCGCCTTCGGAATGGCAGCTCCCCTGGGAGGGGACGTCAGGTCGCCTTAGGGTCATCGTCCCTCCGGAAAGAGGTGGGGAATGGACAGTCTGAACGGGGCTCCCAGCCTTGTGGAAAAGACATTGACTCTCGGGCCAGGGCGGGGAGGAGGCTATCAGATCAGAAAGGATGCGTTCTGGATCCAGCATGGTCACATCCAAGGCACCTAGAGAGAGGGAAATTGCTTACCTTCTCAAGGATTTTTTGACTTGTTGAAAAATGCTATGGACTGCCGGACAGAGAATAGCAGTAATCA